GCCTAGGTCGACCTCGCATGAAGGACTCGACCTCGCCTGATCTCGACTCGACCTTGCCTGCATCAACTCGAAATCGACCTCGCCTCAAGCTTGAGCTCGCCTGAAGGACGTCGTCTTCGAGCCCCCTGCGGAGGTTTGGATCCACACCCAAATCCAATAATCTCCCACTGGGAGACTAAACCGTCGTTAACATGCTATCTCAACAAGCACATTCTCCTGTGGCTCCGCCCTCATCACCTATGCATGAAGGCTAACTAAAGTTGAGCACAACTCCAGTTTTTGAATGATCACCGTCTTTGTTAACATATTTGCTGGATTCTTACTTTCTGAAATCTTCTCTAGTTTTAATACATCATCTTCCAACAAGGATATGATGAAATGGTACCGAAGCCCAATGTGCTTTGTTCTAGAATAAAATGCGGAATTCTTGACCAAGTGAATCACACTTTGACTATCACTGTGCAAAACATTCTTTTCTTGTTTGAATCTCAGCTTTGTTAACAAACCCTGAAGTCATATCATCTTTTTACTAGCTTTAGTCACTGCTACATACTTAGCTTCTATAGTGGATAGAGTGATAATCTTCTGTATCTGTGACATTCAACTAATAGCTGTAGTTTCGACAGTGAATACATAGACGATAGTGCTTCTTCGGTGATCGATTTCACCTCCAAAATCTACATCTACATACCCTTACACGTTCACCTCTCTCTTACCAAAGTACAAACACCACTGTGTGGTGCCTTATAGATACCTCAGAATCTACTTGACCGCTTCTCAATGAGTTTTTCCTGGATTCAATATAAACCGTCTAATTACTCTCACTGCATGACCAATGTCTGGTCTCGTACAGACCATTGCGTACATCAAATTTCTAATGACTGAAGCGTAAGAGACCCTAGTCATACTCTTTTTTTCTTTTTTTCGTTTGAGGAGACTGATCCTTTGATAGGTAAAAATGACTTGCCAATGATGTGCTGACTGGCTTAACGTCGTCCATGTTAAATCTCTGTAAAACACGGTTGATATACTCTGTCTGAGATAACTACAAGAGACTTCTCTTATCTCGTGATTCGCATTCCAATGATCTTCTTTGTTGGACTCAAGTCTTTCATGTCAAACTCCTTTAACAACTACTGTTTTAAACTCATGATATCCTCTATATCTGTACCTACAATCAACATATCATCAACATACAACAGTAAGATGATATAACTGGACTGATATCTTTTGAAGTAATAACAGTGATTGGCGTTGTATTCTGGAAATCTTCCTTATGCATGAAGCCGTCAAACTTTCTGTATCACTGTCTTGGAACATGTTTCAAGCCATACAGGTTATTATTGAGTCTGCACACCAGGTTCTTTTTTTTTAGAAAACCTTCTAGCTGGTGCATGTATATCACCTCTTCTAGATCTCCGTGAAGAAACGTCGTATTCACGTCTAACTGCTTGAGATGAAGATCTTCAATAGCTACAATACTCATCACTGTCCTGATAGTATTGAGCTTCATCACGGAAGCAAAAATATCGGTGTAGTTAGTTCCTTCCTTCTGTTGAAATCCTTTGATAACTAGTCGGGTTTTATATCTGTTGGAGGCATCATACTCCTCTTTTACCCGGTACACCCATTTGTTACGGAGTGTCTTCTTATCCTTGGGCAACTCAGCTAGTTCCCACGTCTGATTTAAGATAAGAGACTTCATCTCTTCTTTCATAACAAGCTCTTACTTGCTCGCATCTCCACTCTGATAAGCTTCATCATAACTTTCAGGCTCTCCTTTATCTGTCAGCAACAAATAGTTCATATATCTCTTGTCTGGCATAGGAGGTCGAGAAGATCTTCTCAAAATCGGAGCTGGTGTGTTGGGCTCTTGCGCATCGTTCTGTCCAACAGTCTTTTCTGGCTGAGGACATACTATATTTGGTTCTTTCGAGAGGTCACCTGAGACATCATCTGCATCTACAAATGTTGGCTTGCTCTCCTCTGAGTCAAAGACATTTGTCTTGTGCATGTCCTTATACATCACATTCTTGTTGAATATTCACATCTCTGCTGCAGGATCACTTTTTTATTTTCGTTGTCCCAAATACGATAGCCGAACTCATCTTCACCATAGCCGATGAAAGTGCATTTCTTGGACTTGGGATCAAACTTATTCCTACCTTGATCACTAATATGCACATAAGCTACACAACCGAAAACTTTAAGATGTGAGAGTTTTACCTCCTTTTCGCACCATACCTCTTCTGGTATTCTGTACTCTAATGGAACCGATGGACCTCGGTTGATCAAGTAAGCTGCTGTGTTTACTGCTTCTGCCCAGAACTGTTTCGGTAGACTTGATTATATATGGATGCTTCTGACTCTTTCTGTTAATGTTCTGTTCATCCGCTCAGCTACATCATTGTGCTGAGGCGTGTCGGGCACGGCTATGAAGCACGGACACGGACACGGCGACACGGACACGACACGAACACGGACACGGACACGGCAAAACCCAAAAAAATAGGACACGACGACACGGTTAGATTTTTTTAATATTATTATTATATATAGATTAATATTGAATTAAATTCATATTACATTTTCATATTTTTTGTTATGTAAAGTGGAGGTTATAAATAAGAAACTAAAGAAAAGTGTGTGTTGCATTTTGTTATGTAAAGTGGAGGTTATAAATAAGAAACTAAAGAAAAGTGTGTGTTGCAGGTGTGAATTAAAACGTCGGGATGGCAATGATCTCTTGAAAAATTGAAGACAATAATGTAAAAGAAGACAAGAAAGAGAAGATGAACATATAGAAAAATAGATCAATTTTTTATGTTATATTATTATGTACATTTTCATATTTTTTGTTATGTAAAGTGGAGGTTATAAATAAGAAACTAAAGAAAAGTGTGTGTTGCACTTGCAGGTGTGAAGTAAGACGTCGGGATGGCAATAATCTCTTGAAAAATTGAAGACAATAATGTAAAAGAAGACAAGAAAGAGAAGATGAACATATAGATAAATAGATCAATTTTTTATGTTATATTATTATGTAACATTGACTTGTATAATCAATGACAAATGTAAGTTATGTAACTGATTTGAAGATAATACCAAATTTTAATTTCCATTACTTTCATCTTGAGCATATCAAAATACAAGTAATTAAAAAAAAGTGATGGGTGTATTTCTACAGTAACAGTAACAATAAATTAAAAAAATAACTGTAGTAAAACAGTAACTACAGTAACAGTAACAGTAAATTAAAAAATTAAAAAAATAAAACCCTAATTAATTACCTAATTAATTAACAGATCCTAGTTCTCATATTTTTATACAGTAACAGTTACAAACGAAAATAATAACAGAAAATAAAAATAAAAAACAGTGACAGTAAAGTAAAAGAGGGAGAGAGGGAGAGAATCAGGGAGAGAGACTGGGATTTGGGTTATAAAAGAGAGAGAATGAGAGAATGAGAGAGAGCGATCAGGGGAGAGAGAGAGGGTGCGATCGGGGGGAGAGAGAGAGGGCGCGATCGGGGAGAGAGAGGGCGCGATCAGGGGGAGAGAGAGAGAGCGATCGAAGAGAGAGAGAGACAGAGAGCGGAGTGACTAACCGAGGCTTGGAGATGATCGACGACGACGCCGTGTCGCCCTTAACTTCGCCGTATCGCCCTCTACTTCGCCGTGTCGACTAGCGCTGACCGTGTCGACGTCGTTGACGCCGTGTCCGACGCGTGTCGAACGCGTGTCGAACGCGTGTCCGTCTCCGACAAGCGTCGGACACGGGGACGGGGGCGGTTTACAAGAGTCGGTGCTTCATAGGGGCACAGTTCTCTCCATTCTGGCCCCATGTTCATAGCAGAACTTCTTGAATCTGGTGTCTTCATACTCACCATCATTATCGATTTTAAGCTTCTTTATTCTCAGACATGTCTCATCCTCAACCATGGCCTTCCATTTCCTAAAAGCTACAAACACTTATGACTTATGTTTCAGAAAATAGACACACTTTCCGAGAACGATCATCGATAAAAATTACGAAGTAGTGTTTCTCATCAATGGACGCGGTGGTTGTTGGTTCCCAAACATCTGAGTGAATGAGCTCAAACTTCTCTTTCTTCGGGGTTCTGCCACTTGTTTGAAAGCTAACCCTCTTCTACTTTTCAAGTATGCATTCTTCACACATGTCTAATTCAACTGATTCTAGACCTGAGAGTTTTTCCTATGTGTGCATGATCTTCATCCCCTTCTCACTCATATGATCGAGTCTCTGATGCTATAAATTTGAAGTCTCGTTGTCTGTTACAACTGAGATCAAACAACGTACACCTGTTGTCATATACAGGGTACCGATCTTCTTGCCATATGCAATCGTCATTGTGCCATTTGAGATCTTTCAATCATCACCATGGAAGGTCATAGTGTAAAATTCTCCAGCCAACTAGCCTACAGATATTAAGTTCTTTCTCAGGTCGGGAATATGTCTGACATCCTTCAGCTCTCATACTGATCCGTTCAACTTAATTTTTACTACACCTTTGTCCACAATAGCACACGCTTGATCATCACCAATGTATACATATTCAAGATTTCTAGGGACATGCTTCTCGAAGAATTCTTTCTGAAAAATAGCATGGAATGACGCTCTAGGGTCTAACACCCAAGACTCTTCCTTGCTCTTCATAGAGCATATCAATGCGTCGTCTCCTCCTGAGGTAGAAGTGACATTCGCCTCTGCCTTCGCCGCCGCCTCCTTTTCTATGCACTCTTGTACCGATTCTTGAAGTGCTCGGTCTTTCCATAATTCCAACACTCGATAGTCTTCGAACTGTTACTTGAAATCCTTGACTTGGACCTCCTGTCCTTTGATCTATCTCTGTAGATTGATTTGCTTCGTTCGTTCCCTCTGATTAAATTTTTACCTCTTGACTCTGTATGCAATACTAAAGAGGTTGTAGCTTCACCCGACTCTCTCCATCGGATCTTCTCATTGAGAACCAGATCACGAACATCATCGAACTTTAACTTGTTGCTTCCCGATGAGCTACTCACAGCCGTGACTGTAGCATTTCAGCTTTCTAGTAGGGAAGACAAAAGGGTCAACTTTGGAACTTTTTCATCAAACTCAATTTTAACGGAACTCAATTGGGTTGTGACTGTGTTGAGTTCATTGAGGTGTTGTGCTAGTGACGCGCCTTTCGTCATTCTCAAATTGAATAACCGCCTCATCAAATGAATTTTATTTACGGCTGATGGCTTCTTATACATATTTGAGAGTGTTGTCATAAGACCCACTGTAGTCTTTTCTTTTGCTATGTTGAACGTAACATTACGAGTTAGTGTCAATCTGATAACTCCGAGGGCTTGTCTGTCTAGAATGTTCCATTCGTCTTCCTTCATAGACTCTGGCTTTTTCCTTGAAAGGGGTTGATACAGATTCTTTTGTTACAGATAGTCCTCTATCTGCATCTTCTAGAATCCGAAATTTATTCAATCAAACTTCTCTAATCTCACATTTCCTTCATCTGCGGTCATTGCTCTCATTTGAATCCGACTTCTTCTAGATCATTTCAGGCTCCGATACCAGTTATTGGAAATTACGGGGGCTACGTTAAACCCCTAAAACAGCAAGAAACACTATAGAAAAAAATACATCAAGATTAACGAGGTTCGGCAAACTTGTCTACGTCCTCGGGAGCCACACAATTAATTTCTTATTAATCAAAGAAATTACAATGTAAGAGCAGATCTCATACTTGAGATCTCTTAATAAATGAAAGTTTGTTACTGTAGCTACAGTAATAACTCCTCTTTAATTCCCCCTCAAATTCTCCAATGAGAGCTGGGGAAAAAGAGGAACGAGATGAGCAAGAGATTTCCGCCACCATTGGAAGAAAAACATGAGAAGAAGAGAAGAGAAGCACATGGATCTCGGGTTCTGGGTTTCCCTTTTATAGGGAAACCCTAGCGACAGCTAGCGATAGAACGCACCTCGTCTGCTCCAACCCCGCCTATGTTGAGTTCGCCCGCGCTTCACCCACTCGAACTCGCTTGCAAATCTCCTCGAGCTCACCTGCAGATCTTGCCCGCGCCCGCATGTTAGCATCGACCTCGTCTGAAGCCCTAAAGCTCGCCTGCAAGGGGTCGCCTCAACATCGAGCTCACCTGACTGGATCTCGACCTCGCTCTCGCCCTCGCCTGCTTTGCGTCAAGCTCGCCTGCGGATGCGTCGACCTCGCCTGAGTCGACCTCGCCTGAGTCGACCTCGCCTGAAGGTCTCGACCTCGCCTGCATCAACTCGAAATCGACCTCGCCTCAAGCTGGAGCTCTCCTGAAGGACGTCGTCTTCGAGCTCGCCTACGGAGGTTTGGATCCACACCCAAATCCAACAACCGCAACCATAGAATGTTCATTTGTAATAACTAGAACATTATTCGGATTAAATAGTGATCTCCTCTCAACAAAACCCATGTAGCATTATCTGCAATATTACAGTCACTTATAAATAACTTGCTTTCACCCACTGAGTGTATAGACTGGTAATATTTCCTATAAGTAATTTAGGTTCTCATAATTTAGAATATGATTTGGCCTCTAATAGCTGGAACTAAAAGATTTGCTATCTAAAAAATAGGGGCAAGATAATAGATAAGATAGATGGAGAACAGTGAAGAGGGGTAAGTAGGATTAGAAAAATGTTCTCTAAAAATTACCTTTATGGATGTTAAAAAAATGTCCTGAAGTCTACTGAGAATAACTAGCTTTCTAATTATCAAAATAAATTGAGTTGGAAGAAACTGCCATACCTTTCTTTTTTTTTTTTCTTTTTCTTTTTTCTTTGCAATGATGAGATGTAAAAGCTCAAGTGTGTCTTAGATTTTGAAGCACCCAAAATAAGCTGGACAATTTGGTCTAATCTCATGGCTAGTGTGATATGGGTAATTTAAGATAAATGCACCAATTCGCAATTGTTTTGAACAGAATTGTCAAAAGATCTTCGTAGCGTGCTAGTATCATGCTAGGGAGTCATGAATTTGTTCCTTTAGGACAGGTATTTGAAAAGTAAATAATACAACACGTGAATGCTATATGCAAATGGAACATGTCACAGTAATTGTAAGTTCTAGTTCTAGTTCGAGTTACAAAATTGTAAAACATACTGAATCTATAAATAGTTCCTTCATTGTTGTCCTAGCAAATAAACACTGTTTATTAACATCACTGTACTTTGTGATTTCCAGTATTATTATACTCTATAGTGCCTTCCAAATACTTTATATTGCTTTGTTTACTTTTTGAGCATTAATTGTGCTGTTTGAACCTCATGTGAGAGGTTAAATAGACGTAGAAACTTAGGTACAGAGGCTTTCTCTGTTCTCAATCCCACAAGAACTTGGAGAAGATATATGAAACTTTGCTCTAACAGAGTCCCACTTATTCGGCCGTGTAGGATATGCTGATTAAACCAAATTTTTCATATAAATTTCCACGCAGGGTAGGACTTAATATTCTGCTCGCATGATCTGTCATTCTTTCCATCTTTGATGATTTGGATGTATCATCACTTCTGGTGAATAACAAATTCAAACAGTGTTTCTCTTCACGATCATTACTTGTTGTTACTTGTTAGCTTGAAATTCTACCAATATTCTGAAATGGTGTTGTGTGAACTTGATAATTTGCTTATTGCCCTTTAGAAGTTTTCTTGTGCAAACATGTTATTGTTATGATCCTTGATTTCTGGATTTGATTTATCTTTCTCCATTCTACTTTTTTTTTGCAGGAATACCTAATACACTAAATGTGATTTCAAACTTTCCTTTCCTTATAGTGGGAATGATTGGGCTTATTCTTTGCCATTACAGAAATTATTTGAAGTTGAGGTAGTTAATAGGAGGTCCTTGTCTTTGTTTTATTTTGTCAAGCAAAGTGTGTTGCTTCAATTTACTTTTTATGGCAGCCTGCAGGGTGAATTATGGGGTTGGTCGTGCTTCTTTATTGGTGTAGCTGCTGTTGCTTTTGGTTCATCTTATTACCATCTAAAGCCAAATGATTCTCGACTTGTCTGGGATCGCCTACCTGTAAGCTTCATTAATAATCAGTTTCTAAAGTTTAACAACAGAAGTGAAATATGCACATTGCATAGAAAAATAGAAGATAATTATAGATTATGATGGCCATTTTTGGTGTGCTTCCTGTTGCCTTTGTGGTATGCAATAATATTAAACTTAACCCGATTAAACTTTTCTAGTTTATCTTTTCTTAAATTGATAATGATGTCAATTTCCACTTGTCTACTTCGTGTTTTTTTATCTATAAGTTTTTCTTGTACTTTGTCATACCATGTAAGTTAGCTTTTAAAAATCATTTCTTAATCGTCACCTGGATTTGTTGTGAGGTTTTGCTCGATTTAATCTTTTTGCACAATTGTATCTCGTTTTTATAAAAAAATTTAAATTTGGTCTCTTCTGATCTCTTTATGAATATACATGTGCTACTTTTGATTGATATGCATCAAGTCTGATCTTACTGCTCTAGTTTGCGAACATTTGTAATCATGAATTTTGGTAAACTTCGATGTTTTCATGCTAAACTTCCGTTGATGTATATTTGCTTGTTTATTTCACTGCTTGACATTTAAGCTACTTATCCAAATTCTTCAGACTGTTCAGTTCTCCAATATTAACTGAACCTGGTTACAACTGGCATGCTTTAGAAACACTCTGGTTTTTATGATGCCTGAACTGTTGTCTTTTCTTGTACATTGCCTTTTCTTCACATGGATGCATGAAATTTACGAGGTTATTCGATATACTTTTGTATTAATATCTGAACCTTTTTCAAACATAGATGACTATTGCATTCACATCAATCATGGCAATCTTCATCATTGAGAGGGTTGATGAGAAGACAGGAGCAACATCTATCATACCTCTTCTTGTGGCTGGCATATTGAGCATTTTATATTGGATGTAAGCATACTAGTTCCAATCCCTTCTATAAATTGGGTGTTTCTCAATATCTGTCCCTTAATTCTTCAATGTTTTGAGTTGGTCCCTCAAATTATTAATATTTCTATTAGGTCCCTCAAGTCTTATATCTTGTTATAGCTGCTTTTGACTGGAGGGATTAATTTGGACCAACTTGACTTGAGGGACTAATTTGGAACAAGTTGATCAGGGAACCTAATAGCAATTTCAATAGTTTGTGCGACTAATGATGAGACAACTAACAAGAACCAGGCAATTTCATTAAGGAACTAGTTTTAAACTATTAAAGATTTAAGGGACTAATCTTCAGAAATTAAAAACCTTTATGCATTATTTTTGGTTACTTGTATATTCAGCAGCGCCTACGTCTCTGAATGATGTGTATTTGGTTTTAATTTTCGGTTAGCATTTCTGCAGAACCTTTGATGACCTTAGGCCATATGCAGTTGTGCAGTTTGTTCCTTGCATTGTTATACCTTTAATGGCTATATTGATGCCTCCGATGTATACACATTCTACTTACTGGCTATGGGCAGCAGGTTAGGTTTCTACCATTATATTCATTTCAGTTTTGAATTCTGGATGCTAGTTTTTTTCTTGTTTTTTTTCACATGTTTGCAAATGACCAGTTTGTCTTGTATTGGTTTTTCTCCCCCTCCCTTCATATTGTATCTAAGTTTTCGGCGATTTCTTTGGAGTAGCATATATAGAAATTTGCATTCTATTTTGTTCACTACTCTCTGGATTCTGGAATTAAATGGTAATCTAGGCTGTTGTAATGAGTAAATGATTGTATGCTAAAGTCTTATCCGATTAATAAAACAAAGACAACAACAATAATGAAGACCATTATAAATTTAATCATGAATGAGGAAATTGTTTACGATGATAGCATCTCAATTCTCAAATATGATTGCTATATAGTGCCCTTTTGCAAAAAGAAACTAGACATGGTTTAGAATTTATCGGCATGCATGCCTCTTCTTTAAATTAATTACTTCTTTGATACATAATACGTTATAATGATATAATCTACATATAAGGTTTTAGTTACATTTTTTTTGAGATAAGATTCTGTATTAAGCTTCTAGTGCCCACACATTTTATTTAAACATAATAATGTATGAAATAGTTTTTCTACAAAGACAAAATACTATAGGCTCTTATCTATTTAGGTATAAAATTGGAAAGGCTTCTGTGGTGAATATTCATCTCTCGGACAGGGGAGAAAGGCGTCACTTTTTTTGGGTTAGTTTTGGGTCTAAGCATATCATTTACCATTAGCCTAAACTAGGTCATTTTCTTCTAGTGACAGAATTTGTGGGATCTTCATTTAAATCTTGTTACATAAACATTAATTTGAATCTTGTTTGTATTTTAAGTGATTAGGACCTAATTTGCATCCATAAATAGTACATTCCATATTTTCCTTTTTATAATTTTGAATTTGAATACTTTCTCCTTATCAGCTTCTTGTAAGGTCGATTTAAAGCCACTTTATCTGCAATTTCCTCCTGAGTTTAGATAGGCGTTCATCTTTGCCTATCCGAAATTTCTATCTGATACTGACCTCTGTCGTTGCAGTTTTTTATCTGTTAGCGAAAGTGGAAGAGGCTGAAGATAAAGTTATTTACAAATGGGCTCATCATATTGTCAGTGGGCATACCCTTAAGCATCTCTGTGCTGCTATGGTTCCTGTATTCTTGACACTCATGCTTGCAAAGAGGAGCATTGAACCCGAGAGGTTAAATTCCATCTTTAAGTTCATCATATTTCATTTTCTGCAAGTTTGTGAGATTGGACATTCAACCTTAATTAACACATGATGTTGAAAACGTACAATTTTTAAGATGTGTGATAATACTCTTCTCAAATTCAAAGGGATGTGATTGCTTTGTTATCCGATTCCTGTAGCATCCCAGTGTTAGCACTGGATCCTGTGAGATAATCCTTTCCCTTATTACTGCTTATAACTAATAAAAATCATAAAGACTTTTAGCTAATGCGTTCATGTGTTATTATCAAACCGTTTTTGATGATTACGCTACTGGTGAAGCAGGAACTGGTCTCCTTATGTTTCTTTGAATGGGATTTCAGAACGTAACACTGAATAAAGTTAATAATTTCAACTGAAATAGTGATATTGCAGCGAGATCTATCTACACCTTTTATGTCTCTGACGGATGTAGAGCTCTCTAAAACATAATCCACTATAGAACAATGTCCTTTATCATAACAACATTAGAAGTTTCAATTAGCATCAGAGTTCGATAAGTGTTCCCAATTATTCTACTTCCAGTCAGTTTTATACTTCAACTTTTCTGATGTATCCTAAGCATATGCTGTTGATCTTTTTAAAATGTGTGTTCTTACACGTGATGATCTCTTCATGCAGGAAAAGTTTATTTGAAACATGGAAATTTTACTGGATAAAAGTGAAAGATGACGAGTACAAAACACAGAGCTTTGACTGTGAGTATGCTGCTGTAAGAACTAGTGAACCGTGATAACCGTCAGGAGTTCTATACAATGTGAGATTTGTGATGCTACAAAGGGGATTTTAGATTTTAGTATGTCGCATATATATTGAGTTTCATTGTAAATAGTATAACACTGAAAAGATTTCAGTTGAATGTACACAGATGAACAAAACCGTTGAATTATAAACACACACGCACACAAATCGTATTGCCTATATCTTAAAGCTCAGATGCTTTCACTGTCAGAGAGAATATGCGGGGGCAAAGTCATCCCAGTCCTGAAAATTACTGGGAAAATTCTCTCTTTGTATCGAATCAATAATGTTAACAAAAATGTCAAAACACTACGACGTGGAAAACTTGAAGTAAATGATATATGCACGAATTGTGAACACTGAAGTCTTGTCCCATCAGTCTTCCGCTTGGGAAGCTGATCACGAGACTTGGTTTTGCAAAGGGATTCGCGCAGAGGAGAAAAGTGGCTGTATCAAAGCTGACTTTGAGAGGAGTTTTCTGTGTAATCCTTTTGTGCTTTTGTGAGAGATTAGAGAGTTAGTTTGAGGGTTTATTTTGTGAGATTGTAAACCTATTGTATTTTCTCTCTAATAGTAGATCCTCCTCCTTGCCCCGTGGACGTAGGCAGTTTGCCGAACCACGTAAAATTGGTTGTTTGAGTTTGTGGCCATTGTAATAGTTTTTAGGATCCCTCGACGCGCAGTCCTAGAGCTGACGAGAGGAAGAGCAAATATCCCACTTTGATGTGTTATTAGGCTTTCAGATTCTTGTTCCCTTTGAGAAACAAGAATTCTTATCGATCTTTCTCTCTTATTGTGCACCAGAAACTCTGCCGAAATTTTCGCTGCGCACAACAAGTGGTATCAGAGCCCAGATTCCTGATCTAGGGTTTGGTTGGAGGAGTAGATCAATTTGGAGGCCCGTTTAGGACTTCGTTGGTGATAAATGTGGGATCTTTTGGTAAAGACTCTATCTTTTAGTTTTGGATCTATTCTTTGTTCGTTGGTGCGTAAGATGTCGGGGAAAGAAGGTGCTTCGGGAGTCGAGGGTGGTTCTTCTGGCGTGAAGACTATTCAGAGTTTGAATATCCACTCTATGAAGATAGATGTGGAGAAATTTAATGGCACAAACAACTTTGGATTATGGAGATGCGAGGTTTTGGATGCGCTGAACGCGCAGAATTTGGAGGATACATTGGAGTTAGATGGCAAGCCAGATGAGATTGAAGAGAAGGTTTGGAAGAAGATGAATCGAACGGCGTGTGGTGTGATTAGGTCTTGTTTGACTCAAGATCTAAAATATGATGTGATGAATGAGACTTCTGCGAAGAAGATTTGGGAGATTCTCGAAAGCAAGTATCTGACAAAGAGTGTTGAGAACCGCTTGCATTTGAAGAGAAGACTTTATCGTTTCCAGTTGAAGAAGGGAACCTCCATTAGAGATCACATGAACCACTACACGAAGCTTTTTGCGGATTTGGCGAACGTGGATGTTATAATTGAAGATGAGAACAAGGCATTATTGCTATTGAGTTCCTTGCTCGACGAGGAATATGAGACATTCGTCCTTACTCTTATTAATGGGAAGGCATCCCTTTCGTATAGTGAGTTCACTGCTGCATTGGTGAATTATCAGCTTCGGAAGAAGGATAAGGAGAATTCGACTGAGCCGGTAGCAGAGGCTTTGGTCGCAAGAGGGAAGAATCTGAACCGAAAGAATTGGAAGTCACAGTCTAGAATTGGAAAAAATCAGTGTGCTTGGTGCAAGGAGACTGGTCATTGGAAGAAAGACTGCCCAAAGCTCGACGAATGGATGAAGAATAAGCAGAAGGGAAAAGGGAAGCAACCATCATCAGAAGCAAACATCGTATCGGATGGTAATAATTCTGACTCTTCTATTTATTCGCTTTCTATCAGTCCTACAGATAGCTATTCGGATGAATCTGAATGGATGTTGGATAGTGGTGCGACCTATCATGTGTGCCCTATAAGGGAATGGTTCTCTAGTTTTGAGAAGCTGGATAGTGGTGTGATGTACATGGCTGATAACCGTGCATGCCAGATCCTTGGGATAGGAAGAATTCGCATAAAGATGTTTAACGGGACTGTTAGAGAGTTAAATGATGTGAGATATGTTCCTTCTTTGAGGAAGAACTTGATCTCGATTGGAGCTTTGGTTGGAGAGGGTCTGAAGGTTCATGTTGAGGACATGGTTCTAATAACCTGTATTACTTGACTGGAGGTATAGTGACAGGTGGAGAGCTGGCGACTTCTGTTGATTCGACTAGACTGCGGCATTTGGGGCTTGGCCATTCCCGTATTGATTCCTCGCATAGATTGAAAGAGGGTGCAAAGACCTGCAGTTTGAAGTCCAGTGAACATGTTGATGTGAGCAAAAAGACCGAGGTGAAGTGTGACACCTCTATTCACCGTGCTAAGGGTCGTTCTGGAGGAGTTCACATGGATGTTTGGGGGCCTTTCAAGGGGGCATCATTGGGAGGTAATAGGCGTTTGGTTTCCTTTGTTGGTGGCTGTTCTAGGCGTGTTTGGGTTGCAACCAAATCCCCTTTGGAGAAAGTCCTAGTAGTATCCAACAGATTGAAGAAGTGTGTAATAGACAGAAAGTATTGGAGCCGAGCTCACGGTATTTCGAGACACTTCGTTGGAAAGGAAATCTTGGGGCAGCTAGATAGGGTGGCAAATTTGGAGAACCGTACCTTGCTGGAGGAGGAACGGTGTTTGTGGTCGAGCAATGGTATGCAGAAGAGTTTCTGGACAGAGGCTTCGACATATTTGGGTCATCCTATTAAAGAGTTGTCAACTGCTGTGATTGGAGGTAAAACTCCATTGGAAGATAGGTCTAGTAGTGTCACTTTGGTTGAGGCTTCGATGAGGGAGCTAATTGACTCTCAGCAGGTGGAGAGCTTTGGACAGACCTTAGAGGTATCGCAGCGGGTGGAGACTGATGCTACTCCACATTGGGTGGGGATTTTCCCACATACTCTAGGTCATTCGGCATTGGTTGGGATTCCAGCTGAGGTGACACAGCGTGGGAGTCATTTGGATTTATGTGCAGATGATGAGTTGGGTTTTGAATCGAGTGCAGCTGGCAGACATAGTTTGGATATGACCATTGGTTCGCCTCAGGTGGAGGTGTTTGAGGCCATTGGAGGTGCTATTAGCCGCAGAGTTGATGATATTGGAGAAGGGTTGCGAACTCTTCTAGTGAATTGAGGCCTTTGGAGGCTATTTGAGTGAACTACGTTAGGCTTGATTCCTTGGGCAAGAGGATACGTAGGCAGTCTTTATGATGCAGCCGGTTTGGATTTTTTGATGGGGGTGAGATCGATTTTGTGAGTTGATACTGACATTTGGAGAGTGTTTGCATTCTCATTTGGGTTCTCGACTTGTTATGGATTGAGAATCAATAATGTTAACAAAAATGTCAAAACACTACGACGTGGAAAACTTGAAGTAAATGATATATGCACGAATTGTGAACACTGAAGTCTTGTCCCATCAGTCTTCCGCTTGGGAAGCTGATCACGAGACTTGGTTTTCTCGTGTTCAAGTGGGGGCCACAAGCTTTGGAGAATTGGAGTTTGTTCAGCGGATAAAGAAGGCCACGAAGTTAGGAAACCGTGTGGAAGAAGTTTGTTCAGCGGGTTCTTGGACAAACCTGGCCCACCCGAATGGAATTTGTAGGCTATAAATAGGAATTGTATTCTCTCCTAGGGTTTGGTGCGAAGGCTGAGGGGGAATAAACGGAAGCAAGGCAAAGAAAATTTGGCTTTTGGCGGCTGCAACGGGTAAAGAGCAGAGGGTGAAAAGAAACTTTTGGGCGGCGTGCAAGCAAAGCAGAGAGAGAAAAGCAGATAGCTTTTTGGCTGTTTTGAAGAGGAGTTCTGTGCAGCGTCTCTTAGGTTTTAGTATCCCTTTTGTGAGAGATTGAGAGATTGTTTGAGGGTTTAGATTTGAGAGATTGTAAACCCTATTTGTATTCTCCTCTCTAATAGTAGATCTTCCCCTCCTTGCCCCGTGGACGTAGGCAGTTTGCCGAACCACGTAAAATCGGTTTGTTTGAGTTTGTGGCCATTGTAATAGTTTTTAGGATCCCTCGACGTGCAGTCCTAGAGCTGACGAGAGGAAGAGCAAATATCCCACTTTGATGGGATATTAGGCTTTCAGATTCTTGTTCCCTTTGAGAAACAAGAATTCTTATCGATCTTTCTCTCTTATTGTGCACCAGCAATAGTTGATTATTAATATTGCTCAGTGGGCTTGATCTTGCACACAAAAACACATAAGTGGATCAGAGTTGAGTTCTCTAGGGATTCCTCTAACGATCAAGTCAGTAATGATCTTAACTAGATGAGAAAAGTAGGATTACTATGTGTGTGATGTTGCGAAAGATTGCTTACCTCCCTATAGTGGATAGTGCGCCTATTTATAGCACATTCAACAGTGTAGTTGTGTAATTTCGGTCGAGTCCAAGCAGTTACAGGTGTCAAATGAGCGTGGTATGAGTCACCTATGCGATTAATGTGATAGTGACGGTGATGACGAGATCCGATGTGTCATTAAGACTTTTAGGGTCAATATAATGATGACTACAATCATGTATTTAATGTGATGGTGATCGATTATCGGCATGAAGTTCAAGAATGGTCGCCTTTCGTTCGGTTTTGAGAGAGGCCGATAAATGACGTCTTTTAACTCAGGCATTCCGGATTGAGAGCTCTTCAACTTGGTCTTCGCAAAATAAAGATGCGTGGTGCCAGCTTTAAACAGCTGGGTCCAATTGAGGATTCCTTTCGACTCGGCCCTCCTCGGGAAGTGTCGAGTGATAACGTCATTCTATTCGTCCTGTATAGGGTAGAGCTAGTGCAACGTATAGCAAGTTCGGGGCACGTGTCGACTCCTGGAGGAGAATTAGCACTTAGTTATTTCATGTTATAACAAATATAAAAGTGGAAGATGAAAAAGTCGATTAGTAACAGGGCTAAACGCATTTGAGTTCCCTCTTGTTTGTGCGCGTGCCCGCGTGTTTTTTGCTTTCTCCCCCTCATTATATTGAAGGCATCATGCGCGTTAAGTTTGTGGGAAAAAAATTATATTTAAAATGAGAGGTCATCACGAAACATTTAAAGGCATCATGCGCGTTAAGTTTGTGGGGAAAATAATTATATTTAAAAGGAGAGGTCATCACAAAACAATAAAAAGTAGGTCCTACCGGGATTCGAACCCAGGTCGCCAGATTCAAAGTCTGGAGTGCTAACCACTACACCATAGAACCCATTGTTGTTACGTGCTATGATATTCTTCTATTTATAAAATACCCATGGGTGCTTCATGTTTAGAAGTCACCATTTAGGCTCTTAACTTCGCCTGTATCATCAGCCTCGATCCTTTTCACAAACTTTATTAACTCTTGTTAACTTGTCAGTGACGTGGCAAGGCAACAAAAATTTTTTAAAAATATGAAAATACAAATTTGTCTTGCCACGTCAACAAGAGTTAATGGAAGTTTCTGAAAAAGAGATATTTTGATGGCGGAGATAACATACATGAAGGCCCTAGATATTATTTGAACAATACATGAGGAACCTCTATAAAGTTTTGCTTATTTTATACATATCAAAACTTAGTAAGAAAACTATTTGTTACATTTGTCCATTTACTCTTAACGTTCGTTATTATCAGCTAAACATGATCTTAAGAATAAATACTAGAGGTGCATCCAGTTCGGATATGGCTCGAATATAATATTTATCATATCACTATATGCTATACAATCATAGATATGGATATAGGTATGTCTTGACAAAGGAATACAAATTCATATCAGCTACAATCGGACATGAATGCGTATGTATATACATGCGGATATACAAACAGATTTCATTCATATGTTTGTTATATCTCAAAAGCTAAGATTAGATCTCTTGATCTCATCAAATGAAACCTCAAATCCATTATTTTAAGGATTAAAACTTGCGAGACCCCATTTAGTCCCACATCGGGAAATGAGTGAAAACTTAAGTGGCTTAAATAGGTAAGCTCAAGTGCAACATTGACTAATCGATTTTGACAATGAATTGAGCGAAACAACACGTTACACGGATACAAATATTTCCTCAAATTCGGATATTTTTGTGCACCCCTAGTAAATATAACTTGTTTTGACTAAGTAAGAAGTATTTGCTAATTTAGCTTGAACTTAGCTCGTAGAGTCCTATGGATTTGTGACAAAATTTTGGATCTATATCATTCATAAAGAACTGGGTTTTCTTCCACATACACCCCAAATATTCATATATTCAAAAAGCGTCTTCAACAAGAGTTTCATTTGACAATTTTAATTCCACTCATATAATAAGAACTTACTGATCATTCTCCACTCATATCAAGCAATAAAGTCTCAGAATATAAGAAACCAACATAAACTCCTTTAATCTGCCGGTCCACTTTATATTCCAATAAGAAGAAAAGAAACAAATCACACAAACAACTCATGACAACCATTTCTCTAACAACAATCATCTCTATAGAATTTTACATCTGCAATACGTTCAACATCAAAACTTGTATACCACAACATTTTCTACTATGTACTAGTTTTCTGTATGATTCCTGCCCCTGCTTCCAGATAACAATCTACCAATGGAAACAGGATAACTGCCTGTGTGACCCAAAGGATCACTAGAATTTGTCATCTTAGTGTAATTTGGTGCGCCTCCGTTGATTTCGGATTTCTCAGGTTCAAACATGGAACTGTCTAAAATTGTTAATGATTTCAATTGTTGGCCAAGAGAGGCAATTGTTTTCTGGCACTCTGCTAGCTTCTCAGCAGCAACTGCAAGCTCTTTTTCCTGTAGTCAAAAGTCCAAACAATGAGTGTATATCATGTACAGTTATGTAAGAGGCATTCACTAATAATTCATAATTTTTGCAGATAGCCCCCTTATCTATATGATACATTCAGTAGTGTGTATCACCTCAACTCTTTTGTTACCATTTACTTGCCCCCTCAATTTGCAGGAAGAGGGATTATCTGCAATTTATCCCTCTCAAAATGTCAATCCAAGGGTGAAAAGTGCTAATAGATGATTTGAGGGGTGATATATGATGGTATAGATGAGAGGAGTTATCTGCACTTTTTTTTCTTTTTTTTTATTAAATATTCATAGAAACTTGGCAAGTGATAGCTCATCTCAAACTCCTAAGCGCTAAGCAAGGCATTTCCTAATAGCATATCCGTTCAACAAATCACATAATGGCCTTGGCTGGCAAAGAAATTGCAGAGAATGGTTTAAATCAAATCAGTAATTTATCCTTTCATGTAGCGCAAACAGTTAACAATTCTCCTAATTTGAGACACCTGCTTTTATTTTCACATTAGATGCCTTCCCTCCTTGATTTCCTTTTCATGAATATATTATATTTTTTCCAAGAGAAATTGAAGGTCATAAAAAAATTGATATCTGAAACAAAGAAAGCGAAAAGCAATAAGATGAACAATATGCTATTAATCTACCTGTTTGACCGTCAGGTCTCCATTTGAGCACGATGCAACTCGGAGTTCAGCTTCTTTCCTCATGCTAGAAATTTCATCCTCTAGATTCTTGCACTTTGCTGAGAATTGATTACAAAGTGCTCTCTGATTATCTACTTCCTCCTCCAAAAACGCCACTTTATCACTTAGCTGTTTAGCCTCACTAAGTGCCAACTCAAGCTTATACTCTAATTCCTTCCTCTCAACCTCCAGCGCCTGTACCTTAGCTGCAAACTCCGTAGATGACAAATTATCATCTTCAGTTCTTTTTTCTAATACATTCACCTTCTTTTGTAGCTCTCTAACTTCAAAATCAGCAGATATCAATTGAGACTCTCTCGCCTTCTTTATTGCCTCCATAGCTTCAATTTTAGCCACAAATTCCGCAGATCGCTCTTTCTCCTCTTCGATTTTACTTTCTAATAACCCAATCTTTTTGTGTAGCTTCTCTAGTTCTGTATTTGCTAAGTGAAGATGGGTTTCAATGGTCTCTCTTGTTGTCTCTGAAGCTTCTAGTTTAGCCTTTAACTCTGAAGACAATCCACTCTCCTCAGCCTTTAATTCTAATTGAGACTCCAATACTTTTCTCTTTGCATCTAAACTCACTACTTCTATCAAAGCTGCCTCTTTGGATTCTTTCGTCAACTCGAGCTCCTTTTGCAACTGAACCAATTTTTCTTCTGCTACATTTAGCTGACTGCATGAGATCTCTAATTGTTTTTTACTCTCAGCCAAAGCAATCTCCAGCTTTTTAACCTTTTCTTCTAACCCAGCTGTCTTTTGCTTCCCAACTTCATCTTCAACTTTTGATGAGCTCTCCTTTTCAGTAACTTTGTTTGGAGCACTTTCTATATCGAAGTTAGAGCTTTCACGGTCATACTCAGGCATCGAAGCGAGCCTCTCCATCTCTAGGAAATCATCCATTAAATCAATATCTATAGACTTAGTGAGGACTCTGGCACTGGCTTTCTCGTTCTTGAACTGATCAAGTTCTGCAATTAGAGCTGAGGCCCATGAATCTGAACAACCCAGCTCATTATCAGATTGGCTATCTGTAAGAGATTCTGCACAAGCAGAGCTAGAGATGCTCTTGTGATCATTAACATATGATGTTTTCTTCACTATGGCTCTCAACTTACGACACTCGGTTTCAAGCTTTGCCACCTTTTTAATGCTCTCCAAGTGTTGTTTACTAGCTGTTTCTGCTGTTTGGGTACTTAATTCTCTCTCTAGGGTTCGTACTTTGAGTTCTTCTGATTGAGCAAAAAGTTTGGCTCTGAGAGCTGCATTTTCTTTCTCAATAGCTTCAATTTTAGAATTACTGTCAGTGAGAATGGTCTCGGTGTCAAATTTAGAAGCTTCCAACTGTTTCTTCAGATCAGTGACTTGATTCTCAAGCTGAGATTTGTTGGACTCCAGCTCTTGTGTCTTCTTAGTGACAGTGTCATGTACTTTCTGCTCCTGGTTGTCTCTTGCTTGCCTGAGTTGACGAACACACTCTTTGAGGGCCCCATCAAGATGACTGATTTTATCCTCAAGTGCAGAGTTCTTTTGATTTGTGGTTTCAAGCTGCTTCTTTAAAGCTGCAACTTCAGATTCTGCCTTCTCCCAGCCTGGGTACAAATGTAAACATACAGTTTGGTAATTCATGTACAAGTTCCGAAAATGCTTGCTTAGCAGAGTAACAATCAATCAGACAGCGAATTCATCTCCTGACCCATAGCATTGGTACTGGCTCAGGACCCTGCCATTACACCAAAACTCTAAAAGTAGTGGTGAGGGTTGAGGGTTATAATATTGTACACTAACATGCTCCAACAAGTTGAACATCTTTTTTATGGACCAAAACCTAGACTCACACAGTAATATCACGCTTTAAATTTGTGGCCGATGGGAATTGAATCTAGGCTGTTCTAATACCATGTCAAAGGACTCTGCCACTACACCAAACCTCTGAAGTAGTGGTGAGGGTTGAGGGTTTTAATTTTGTACTCTAAAGTGCTCCAACAAGTTGAACGTCCTTCTTATGGACGGAAACTTAGACTCACATAGCAGTATCACGCTTTAAATTTATAGCCGATGGGAATTGAATCTAGGCTACTCTAATACCATGTCAAATGACCCTACCACTACACCAAAACTCCGAAGTAGTGGTGATCGTTGAGGGTGATAATTTTATACTCTCTCAAAAAAACTGAAGGGTGTAATAACAAAGAAACTATAAATGGTGCGTGAACTTCGCCTTTACTTTCAGAGATTCTACAATTTTATAGGACTCTAGAAGCACTCCTTCAAAATGCTGACACGATATGAAACACCAACACCTAATAAATTCTCAAACAAAATATATAAATGTCCAGAAGGCATACAAGAGACTGCTTCATACTACAAGTACTTGTGCAGTTGTGCTTACAGTTAAGAAGGTCCTTTCACACATTTGGTGCAGTAACAACTTTCTTAGAATGACTAAAAATAAACTTTGAAGCATCTTTCAAGCTTTTCAATATATGTGACTAGCCTTCTTTAAAAGAAAGTATCGCCAATTAGTATATTTTACTTGTGTGCATCCAACTCGTTGCTACGTTTGAACTACATCTATTGTAAATTATCCCAAGCTTATAAGGCTCATATCACAGAGCTAATGAACTTGGCAAGTGAAATTGTCAGTTTTGGGATCAATTGATTCTGATACGGGTGTATCTTCTTCCTTGCTTCGGGAGCTTAGTGATCCTCATAGGAGCTTGAGGATAGATGATTCTCATGATATCTTGAGAATAGAGACGTGGACGACGTCGTTGAAGGCGGCAAAGGTAAAGATCCTAAGAAGAAACTGCATGAAACGTTTTGAGCTTCCAGCAGTCAACCGCACGTAACGCCGCGATCAACCACGAACGTGCACAAAATCCTGGGAGGTCTCTGGACTTTTGGCAGTCGACCGCAACGACATGTGCGGTCGACCGGCCAAACTCTGTAATGGGTTTTGGTTTCTGTCGTTGGATTCGGTCGATCGCGATGTTCTCTACGGTCGACCGCAACGGTTTCCTGAGCCTTCCTGCTTCGTTTGGGACTCTGTTTTCATGTTTGATTTTGGTTTGTTTAATTACAAGTTTGTCATCCACGTTGTAAACTCTATAAAGAGGATTGTTTTAGGGTTCTAAACAATCAGAGAAATTAAAAAGGTGAGATCCTAACCAAAAGATTAGGGTTTAGAAAGAATTGGGAGATTGTTCCTGATTCTAGAGAGATTATGAGAGAGAGGGATTTATAATCTATTATTCTCATAATCTAGAGAATGTATTTTTCTTCGCCTAAAACTTAATTGTTCTTGTGTTTTTCTATCGTCTTCTTCACAACTCACTCTTGATAATTTCACGATCAAGGGTGCTCGTCCGGCGACTCGTATCAAATTGGTATCAGAGCGATTAGATCCTGTGAAAGGGGGGTCATGTGTATGGTCCTTACTCGATCGGAATACAAGAAGGTAGGCGAGATCCTTATTTCTTTAAAAAGAGTTCAGAGATTAAGGAAGAAAAAGATGACTGAAGGGGATAGTTCAGCAAGACTAGATGCATTAGAGAAACAGATGGAGGCAATGTGTTCAACTCTCAAACAGCTCGTCAATCTTTTCTAAGGAAATGACAAAAAAAAGAATCTTCTTCGAAAGACAAGAAGAGACTTGTAGAGTCCGATGAGGAAGGAGAGGAATCTGATTCTGAAGAGGAGGCTAAAATTGTCAAGACTGTTCCACATCAATGGGGTAAGGGTTCTTACCAGGATTTAAAAATAGACTTCAAGATGGAGATTCATGTTTATGATGGGAGTGTCAATGTCGAGAGGCTTGATGATTGGATCGAACGGATGGAGATATATTTTACCCTCTACGGATATTCATCCAAGGACAAGCTCGTGTTCGCGATTTTAAAGTTTTCGGGGCATGCATTGACATGGTGAAAATCCTATTGCAAGCAGGAAAGAAAGACGGTGTCGTGGAATAAGTTTAAGGAGCTACTGAGGAAACAATTCTACCCGATGGGATTCCTTAAGGAGCGTTGGTACAAGTGGTACAGTTTGCGCCAAAGAGTCAATCAAACAGTTCAAGAATACACCACGTAGTTCCAACAACAGACGATGGTCCTCGATATTACGACTGAGGAATATTTTGTGTTTATGAAGTACATGACGGGTTTGAGCGAGTACATCCGGAAGGAGATGAAACTATTCACGGTGGAATCTATTACAGAGGCGAGCGTGAAGGCTATTGCTATCGAAGGCAAGCAGAAGAGGAGCAACGAATCCAAAGGAGAGACTAAACAAACTGGAGGTGAGTCTAGTGGTTCTCAATCTAAGAAGGAGAAGAAGAAGGGTGATCCTGAAAAAGCAGGGCTGATTTGTAGTCATTGTGAAAAGACAGGACACATAGCTGATCGGTACTGGGAGAAGTATCATCATCTTAAACCAATGGGTTAAAGAAGAAAGAGAAAAAGACATACATGATAGCTCAAGTTCCGAAAGAAGTCTCGGGGACGACAGAACCCAACAATAGTCTCAATCTTATGACGAGGAAACAGATCACGAAAGAGGACAACGACCCTATAGAGCAGCTCTTTGTTCTTAAGTTGCAGGTGAAGACCAGTTTGGTAGATTTCATAGTTAATCTAGGCAACGAAAAGAATTTGATATCCGAGGCCTTAGTTCAGAAGCTGGGTCTGAAGACAGTCAAGCATCCAAATCCCTATCCATTGGGGTGGATTCAGAAGGAGACGGGACTAAGTATAGTTGATCAATGTACTTTCAGATTTGCGCTCCATGAGTCGTATATTGACGAGGTTACGTGCGACGTAGTTCCATTGGATGTTTGTCAGGTTATACTGGGTAATCACCATTTGTGAGATAGATACGCGATCTACGAGAGACGGGCTCAAAAGTACACATTCACCAAAGATGGTGAAAATTTCATATTTCGTTCGGCATCTTTTCCGAAGGAGACAAACTTGGTGACGATGAACCGAGCGAAGAGGCTAGTGAATGCAAACAAGAAGTTTGTTGCGCTATGCTTAGTTCTTATAAGGAGTCACTGAAAGAGGGTTGTAATTTGGAGCGGAATGTGACTACGACGAGACGCGGGACGAATGAGTTGTTTCTGATCAGACGTCGAGACCAAATTCTTAACAAGGTTAAGTGGTTCAGAAAAGAAAGAGGGACTCGCGAGTTCCCTCAGCTACAGTTCTAACTTGAAAGGGATTTCAAGTTCCTAAACGAGCAAGCCATGATACGGGTGTATCTTCTTCCTTGCTTCGGGAGCTTGAGCATAGATGATTCTCATAATATCTTGAGAATAGAGACGTGGACGTCATTGAAGGAGACAAAGGTAAAGATTCTAAGAAGAAACTGCAGGAAACGTTTTGAGCTTCCAGCGGTCGATCGCACGTGACGGCGCGGTCGACCGCGAATGTGCACAAAATCCTAGGAGGTCTCTGGACTTTTGCCGGTCGAGCGTAGCGACATGTGCGGTCGACCGGCCAAACCCTGTAATAGGTTTTGGTTTCTGTCGTTGGATCCAGTCGACCGCGATGTTCTCTGCGGTCGACCACGATGGTTTCCTGAGCCTTCCTGTTTCGTTTGGAACTCTATTTTCCTATTTGATTTTGGTTTGTTTAATTATAAGTTTGTCATCCATGTTGCAAACTCTATAAAGATGATTGTTTTAGGGTTCTAAACAATCAGAGAAATCAGAAAGGTGAGATCCTAACCAAGAGATTAGGGTTTAGAGAGAATTGGAGATTGTTCCTGATTCTAGAGAGATTGTGAGAGTGGTATTTGTAATCTATTATTCTCATAATCTAGAGAATGTATTTTCTCTCGCCTAAAATTGAATTGTTCTTGTGTTTTTCTATCGTCTTCTTCACAACCCACTCTTGATAATTCTGTGATCAAGGGTGCTTCTCCGGCGACTCGTATCAGATTCATATGTAGAAAACCATTAGATACTCACTTAAACCATTCCTCGTGTATAATACAAATAAATAATAGGACTAATCAATTTAATGGTTGTTATATGATGTGCACACATAAAACTTTGAACACAAATTCTTTTAATGGGAAGCTATCTTCCTTTTTAGTTTTCAATTTTCAACATATGCTCAACTTAAAAGAAGTTTCAGAAAATCAAGTAACAAAAATATGCATGTTGTTACTTCTTACTTATCATTTAACAGGATAATGCCAAATTTAAGTTTCAATAGTCCAAATCTGAGCAACAAGAAAACTATAGGTTTAATGATGGGGAAATAAGAAATGGAAGATTCTTACCCAAAATAGCTTCTTCAGCTACTCTTGAGTGTTGCTTCACCAATTCCTCTTTAGCACTGATATTCAAAAGAGCAGCTGATAGTTTCTCAGTGAGGCTCTTCACACTTTCTTGGAACTCATTCTCACTGGAGTTAGATGAAATCACTGGTGATTGAGCATGATTAGAGTAAGCATCAGTTGAAGAACTATCATCCAGGGAAATCCTCAATCCCTCCTGTATACGAAAGATACATTTCAGTTTCTGTCGCAGATTCTGAATAGATTTGGATACCTTTTTAGATCAATTATTGAAAAAATTTGTGGCGAGATACTCTAAGCAGATATTAAATAGACTTGGGAAGATGTTATCATTAAAAAAATGAGCCAAAGCTCAAGATTATTAAACCTCATGTAAGTTATGTGTTAGTTCCATATATCTGAAAGAAACATGAGACAACAAGGAAAAACACGAACACAAAGTTATGATTGAAAGAAAACATCAGGCAGTCACCTTCTAGACTGCTAATGCCATTTCAAAAAGTTGTGACCAAGAAGAATATGAAAGCAATGACAATCTCCACCAGCTCTTAGTAGGTTAAGCATTAAATTGAATTTCAATAAATTTGTGTAGGTTTCCAAAGAGCTCAAGAACTGATTTGTTTAACCTTTCAAATCTACTTTAGTTTTGCATATTGGATTTTGAATTTCAAAGGAAAGAAAATAAGTCTGTTAATCATTACCTCACTAGGGATACTAAAACATAAATGAAATTCATAAATCTTCAAGTGTACAGATAATTCATCCATAATCAATCTTACATAATCAGGCCAAAAGGGGAAGCAGGGATTTTATTGCGTCCCTGAGTTCTTATTTCCTTTACACGTCGATCTGCCAATTAATACTGATGCAGAATCACAAATTGATTGCAACCACAAATAGAAACAGAATCAGACTGCTCTCCAAATGTTTGTGGTCCAATACTTGCAATTCACAAACAAGAAAAAACAAAGATAGGTATTTGAGACATCAGCTATTGATACTTATCATATAAGAGCATAGTAACTGTATGTTCGGTAACATCAAAAGGCTGACCAGCATTATCATCACCAATATACTATATTATTGACCAAACTAAGCAATCCTTCACCATATGAGACTCCCTAATGCTTCAAATAAAATGACAGAATAAGTTTCAACAGTCTTTCGAGTTCAACAAATGATTCAAGTAAAGCTTGGTTCCTTCTATAGTTTCATCCATGTCACAAACTTGCACATCGTAACAAAGCACCGAAAACAAATTAACTTGAACTTAAAGTACAGATCAAAACAAGCAACAAAACTTACCTGACCCTCTGGGAATTTCTCCGAATGGGGCGACCCCGATTCCAAGCCCTCATTCTCTCCTGGGCTCATCTCAAAAGAATTCCATAGCCAAGCAACTACTTAGAGCTTAATGGTTCCCAAATTTCACCCCCAACAGATCAAACCTCTTCAAAAACAACCAAAACCTACATAAGAAAAAGATTTTTTTTAAAAAAAAGAAGATCACTCAAAACAAGATGCCATAAAACCCAAAATTTATAACAAAAAGAATTTAAAAAATTAGCAAACTCTCAAGTGAAAGCAGGAACACAGTGCAGCAAAGAAAAACCAAATAAACACATTGAGTCAACAACAAAGCCCCCACAGAAAAACAAACAGAAAGACAACAAAGCTCAAAATTAGTGAAGACTCAATTGGTAAAAACCTAAGAAAAATCAACCCACCACATCAAAATCCAATCTTGGCAAAGACCCAATGGAGACCCCTCACTCAAACCACCATTAAAAGAAGGAAGAAATCCGTGAAGGGGAGGGGGGTTATGGAATGTTGGGATTTTGAATAGGGCGGTGATCTTCTCAGAATAACTTCTTTCAAAATTTCACCATATTTAATGCAACATGGAAACGGAATAGTTTTTCTATTAATTTAAGCAGTGAAAATCTCACCTTTTTTGGAGAGCGCATGTGAAGAGGAAGAGAAAGCAGTGGGGTAAGAAGACAACCGAGAAAGTAAAAAAGAGCGGTTCGGTTTTTTTAAAGCTCAATTATGAATTGCTTTGAGTCAAGGTTTTTATTTGACTTTGTACGGATTGGCGTTCAAAAAAAAATTAGCTAATTGAAATTATAAACTGATTTTGAGCCAAAAAAAAAAGGGACGGCAGGCGTGAAAATATGATGACATGATATGTACCTTGTTAACCTATGATGATTAAAGACCCAATAAAAAACATATGCTATCTTTTTCAGTATTTGTTTTCTTGAATTTTGGTTCTAAAATAATCAATATTATCATACAAATTCTCTAATATACATTAGATCTATGCCAGTGCTTTCATTTAAAATCTAACTCTAATATCAGCTTTCATTTAAAATATCTTACTCTATTCGGGTGGAGAACTATCCATTTAAATTATCTGTTATCTCTATCTCCATTGTGATCAGGGCAAAGGACAATTGTAGCCAAATAAAGGAGGTTATGTGCGAAACCCTGGTGTTGTGTAATTCTCTTATTGGTAATAAGTTAGGGCTCATACTTCTAAAAGGATATTTGATGCATTTCCCTATTAACGAGTAACAACTATCAGGAGGCTATACTTCGAAAAAGACATTTTGACATTTTCATTAACGAATTCAATACATGGGATGTGCTAGAAAACGTCAGTTTAAAGGGGTCAAATAGACACTCAAAGTTCAAGTGATTAAGTAGAATAAAAAAAGTTTAGGAGACGTCGCATGCAAAAACCTCAAAAAATTTAGGGATGTCAAGTGAAGTTTACAAATAAATTTTATTTTTTCATCATAATTGTTAGGAAGGAATTTTAGCTAGAGAATATAGCTTTTTTGTTTCGCTGGTTTGATTTCGTTAATTCAACTTAATTCCTCATATCCGGACATCTGAACGCGAACCAGTATGAGCCTTTTTTGGTCATGCGGTCTTTTTAGGAGAAAACCCCAAAAAACTTAATTTTGTTATATATTTTCCCTTATTCCTGTCAAAATAAGTTCAATTTATTCCCGCCAGAGAGCCCGATTCTTTAATTTCTGGCACATAATTTTTACTACTAATGGTTGCAGTTTAGCAGAGAATAAGAGAGAGCAAGATAACTTTAGACCTCTGTTTTTTTCTCTCTCATGCTTCCCTTTCAGTCTCTTCTCTCTCTTTGTCTGGCAGTTTGACATTAATTTAATGAGTCATTTTTTGTTTCAGTAATGAGTGCTTGATTAGAAATTGATCAGTGATAAATGATAGAATTAGTACAGATTGTTAGAATCCTTGACAATGAGGGGTTGCCACTTCTATGATTTGGGGAAAGGAGGCAAAAGCTAAATGATCTTGTCAGTTGTGCCCACAAAATCTTTTACTTTTATTAAAGGGGCTGTTTGGTTGTTGTTGGTAAAGTTGTGTATTTATGACACAACTTGGAAAGTTGTTGTCCACCTTATCAATTTTACTTTTATACTTTTCTTTGTTTGTTTTTTATTCCATTGGAATCATAAATTGCTTGTTTGGTTTGCAAATGTAACTTTAATTGTTTGTTTGGAAAGTGTAAAAAGTGGTCCCTACTCAAATGATCATATTGGTTGGAATTATTTTTTATTATTTTTTCCTGATTTCAATGTCAGCTTTCTCCTAAAATCATGTCTTTTTTTATGAAACCACTTTACAAGCCACATCAGCATATGAAATCACTTTACACTATTTTCACAACTACAAACAAACAATTGAAAGTGATGAAAGCTGATAATGGGACCCACTTTTTTACACTTTCCATCCTTTGACATGGTAAAAACATACAACCAAAAACCCCTAATCACTTTCAATCGTTTGTTTGTAGTTGTGAAAATAGTGTAAAGTGATTTCATATGCTGATGTGGCTTGTAAAGTGGTTTCACTTTTCTTTGTTTGTTTTTTATTCCATTGGAATCATAAATTGCTTGTTTGGTTTGCAAATATAACTTCAATTGTTTGTTTGGAAAGTGTAAAAAGTGGTCCCTACTCAAATTATCATATTGGTTGAAATTATTTTTTATTATTTTTTCCTGATTTCAATGTCAGCTTTCTCCTAAAATCATGTCTTTTTTTATGACCAACCAATATGATCATTTGAGTAGGGACCACTTTTTACACTTTCCAAACAAACAATTAAAGTTTCATTTGCAAAACAAACAAGCAATTTATGATTCCAATAGAATCAAAAACAAACAAAGAAAAGTATAAAAGTAAAATTGATGAGGTGGACAACAACTTTCCAAGTTGTGTCATAAATACACAACTTTACCAACAACAACCAAACAGCCCCTAAGTGTTTTTCTACATTTCTGTTCATAATTTCCGCGACTAAAATAGCAGATTAGTCTAAAAAGTAACATTTTTCTATCAATTTAACCTAAAATGTAACTTTGTAATGGTTTAGTATGAAAAGTGATAAATACGATGATAAATAGGCATTTTCCAGAGCTGAAGACAATTTTTAAGCTTAATTGATTTTTGCATATAGACCCCTCACTCTCCCATATTTTTCAAATTTATTCCCTCGGGGCCTCAAGTTCTAAAATATGTATAAAAAAACCCTCTCTCATCCCCCTGCGTCCTGCCCACCATCTCGTCCCTCCTCCTTCCCACCATCTTCTCTATTCTTTTCTCATCGCAATCCTCAACCTCTCATTCTCTCTCCCACTCGCTTTCTCTTAATTTTCTTTTGATATCCTCCCTATTACCTCCTCATTTTCCTCTTTCTCGAAATCCATCACTTCTTAACTACTTTTGCTTTTCTATCTTCTTTTCTTTGTTAGGTCTGAGAAAGAAAGAATAGGGGAAGATTGAGTTTTTGATGATTGGAGGTAGGGGTGTGCAACAGTCGGTTCAGTTTAGTTTTTATCAAAATTTGAACAACCAAACCGAACCGCCTATAATTCAAAACCGAACCGAACTGTTGCAAGTCGGTTCGGTGCGGTTCGGTTCGGTTTATTCGGTTCTAACTTCATCAAACTTCTTATCAAACAACAAATTATGTTAAAAAAAAGATATCAACAAAGTAGGAGATTATAAAACATTAGACACTGATATAATGATATTATTTTCAACCCATAATGATTCAGAAAATGAGTTTAGGGTTTGAGTCTTTAACTCTTTGGGGACGGGTCGGCTAGGGTTTGAGATCAGAATGAGTAGTATTGTACTATATTCGGTCGGTTCGGATCGGTTCGGGTTGAAAAGTTTTCAAAACCGACCCAAACCGCCCTACTCATAAAACCGATTTTCCGGGTCGGTTCGGGTCGGTTCGGTCGGTTTTTTTGATTTGGACCGAACCATGCTCAGCCCTAATTGGAGGTGAAGAGGGAGTGGAGAGAGTATGGAAGGAGAGAGAGGAGGAGCGGAAGAGATGAAGAGGAGAAGGAGGTTTGGTATTTGATAGAATATTTGATGTTGGGTCTAAGAGAAGAAGAGGAGGAGGACGTTTTTTTTTCCTTTGATTAGGAGTTGAAGAGGGAGTGGGCGGAGCAAGGAAAGAGAGAGTGGTGAGAGGGAGAAGGGGAGGATAGGGATTGGAAGGAGAAGAGAATGAAGGAAATGGTGGAAAAGAGAAAATAGGAATGAGTATGGGAAAGGATGAAGAATGAGTGGAAGAGAGGAAGGATTGTTGGGGATTGAAGGAGAAGAAAATGGAGGAGATGGAGGGAAGGGACATTTTGTTTTACAAATTTTAAAACTTTTTTGAGGGGTTAATTTGAAAAATATAGGAGAGTGAGGGGTCTACATGCAAAAATCACTTAATTTTTTTTCTTAAAAATTATCTCCACCACTGAAAATGTCTATTTATCATCGTATTTGTTAGTTTTTAGTCTAAACTATCGCTGACATTATTTTTAGGCTAAACTAGCAAAATGGTGTCACTTTTTAGGTCTAGTTTAAAGTGTTTTGTTGATTGGCAAAAACCAAGCCAGAACTGACCCAATTTAATTTAGTTCATTTTTTGCCTCTAAACTGATTTAGTTGTAGAACATGGTGAAGATGGTCCACAATTAAACTAGTTCTTGTCAAAACCACTTTAAGTAATAGGTTTGAACCAATTTTAGTGAGTTGTCAAACACACCCGTAGGACCTTGAATTTAACAAGGTATAGTTTTTTTTCTTAAAAAGCATAATTTAAAATACAATTGTAATTAAGAAGAGGCTAAACAGCACTTAGATATCATATAGTTCTACTCATTTTGCAAGTACATGCTCCTGCCTATTTTTTCCATAGCATTTATATGCACTAGTTATTTAAATTGACATATTTATACATTCTTTTGTGCAAACATGAAAATTTTCATGTAAAAATTCTCATATGACATTTACATGCTAAGTTTAGTATATTTTAACCATTAGTGTATGTTAAATTTGTTATTAAACTTAGTTGAACAAATCATACTCCCTTTAAAAGAGGGAGTTGTGAAAAAACTTTCTAATGACTATATTACCC